TGGTCAAATTAAAATAAATGAATGAATAAATATAAATAAATAAATAAATATTAAAAAACAAAAACAAACAAACAAAAACAAACCATGCCAGGTGTGTGTTCGTGTGTACCCAAACTGCAGGAGGGGAAAGGTGGAGAGACTGCGGTGCGACCATACTCCTTCCCCACCCCCACCCCCCCGTCTTTGGAAGGTACACATACTCCCTAGCAAGAAAGGAATGATGTACTAATACATGCTTCAGCACGAGCGAGCCTTTACATCACGCTCAGTGAGAGAAGGCAGCCATCGAAGGCCACGTGTGCTAACATCCTATTTACACGGAGTGTCCAGAGCAGCAAATCCAGACACAGTGCCACCTTCCTGTGACCGCCTGGGGTAGAGGAGACGGGAGGTGGAGAGTGATGGCTGACAGGGACGTGCACTGATGAAAATCATCTGGAATTAGGTGGGGACATTCAGAACCTTGGGAGTACGCTAAAGCCACTGGGCTGCTCACTTCAAAATGGTGACTTGTACGGTATGTGAATTGTATCTCAATAAAGCCGCTACAGGGACTAGGAACACCAGAGGAGTCACGGCCTCAGATATGGAGGGAAGGGAGTGGATTTAAGCAGGAAGTAGACGCAGTCCTGACCTCAGAGAGTAAACCCAGCAGAACCTTCTGCCTCCCACCTCCTCTTCGGAGGTGCCATGGTCAGAGTGGACAGCCTCCAGTCCTGTCTTGGCAGGTAGAGAGGAAGCGGTCTGAGAACAGCTCCCAGGTCTGGAATGGCCTCCTCGATTATCTCGGCATGACACATGGGATGTGCAACCGACCTCACGGGGCGAGCCAGTTCTCCACAACCAAGGGTTGGCGTCTGGTCAGTTGTGGAAGGAACAGCCCAGACAATGGCAGGAGGTTACACTTAGGACTTAGGACGGACGCCCGAGTCAGTGCTGACCCACACGGGAGCCGGTGGGGCTGGGCTAGGCAGTCAGACGCAGGATGGGAAGATGGCCAGGGAGGCTCTCGGGGAGGAGGGCCTGGCCCCCGGGGGGACTCATGCTGAGAAGTCTTCCTACAACGCAGCCTCCACCCCGGAATGGGAAGCTGAGTGCAGCCCACCTTGGGAGCAGCCCTCCTCCTTCTGCGGAGCTGGGTTTTCAAGGCAACCCACTCCATCTTTTTCAGATGATGCTAATCACCAGAATGTTCTTTCTTATATTAAGCCAAAATATGCCTCCCCACCACTCCTGCCTGCTGGAGCCACACTGTCTAATCGCTTTTCCCTTTGACAGCTCTGCAGTGTTTGAAAACAACCAATACGCCTTTTATGTTTCCTCTTTCCTAAGCTACATATGTCTAGTCTCTTCTGTCATTCTTCAGCAAACATGCTTTTCGGAGTTGGACCAGCCAGCTCAGAAGTGCCTTTTAAAATAACTTATCTGTGGGGCTGGCAGATGATGTGGTGGGGAAGGCTCTCACTTCCCCCTTTCTGCTCAAATGATAATAATAAATAAAATAATTCTTAAAAAAAAACAACAACAGTACCTGCAGCTGAACTTTATCAACACCAGGCACCATGCATTCTGACGTGTCTAGCCTGCCCTCACCCCTGGGATCCAGGCGAGTCCTGGAGTGTGCTAGCTAGCTTTTCTTTTTTTTTTTTTTGGGGGGGGGATACATTTAGAATGTCTGGCAGTTAGCATAGTTTTTGTTTTGTTTTGTTTTGTTTTAAATATTACTTGAGGGACCAGCAGTTGGTAATGGTAATGTCGTTGGACTCCCATGTAGTTGACCACAGTTCGAGTCCCGGACCCAGTGGCTTAGACTCATGCCGGGCACATGTGCATGCGTACCCAAGATCCCGAGAGGAGAAGGGACTGTGGCGTGGCCATTCCCCCAGTGGGTGATTTCTTGCTTTCTGTCTCTCTGTCTTTCTGGTAAGTGCATGAGCCCTTATAGCAAAAAACCTCTCCAAAAGAGAAAAAAAAAAAGGACAAAAAATTACTTGATTTTATTTATCATCATCATTATTATTATTATTAAAATTTGCTGTAGGGCATGTGCACTCACATGAGAGAGAGGAAGACCTCGAACCACAGTTGACCATGTGGGAGTCCAACACCTTAGCCACCATGCTGCCTGCTGGCCTATGTCAGCTATTTCTTACAGTCACTGCCTTTTTTGGTCGGGGCATCAGCAGACACTGGGTGGGGGGCTTGGCCTGCATGGGCGGCCCTGGGTGCTCTGGTAAGCCTGGTCGGTACCTCACTTGGCAAGAGGGCTTCAGTAATGTGGGGAGGGGAAAGGGTTCAGAGGTGAAATCTCAAACCATCTGCAGAACACAAGGGTAACCAGCCACAGCTGTGGAGCTCCCAGGGAACATAGGTCGTCCCCCTAGGTCACGGCTGGGCAGTACCAGTCCTGTCCCATGGTCCAGGTCACAGGAAGTTCTCCCACTGGCAGAGGCTGGGGAAGAGCAAGGTGCAGGCTCCTCCGAGCTACTCTGCTGCCCTCTGCTGATGGGTTTTTGCAGCAGCTTCGAAGAAGAGAGGAGCCTCTGGGAGGTGGCACACCCCATGGGAGGACTCCCAGCAATACTCTGGGCACGGGGACAGCCTCCCAGGCAGCCTAAGCCCGCAGGGAAGCTACGGAAGGTTTCCACCCTGTAACAGCTGGTCCAGGCGGGTGTGCTTCTGCAGAGAGGGTCTGCCTTCTCAGGCCACTCCTCCCTGCAAACCTGAACCGGGAGGGGTTCCTAGTCCTATCAAACCCTTTTCTTTCCTAGTCAAGCCTCACTTTTTGGCCTCCGCCAGAACCAATAGCACATGAACAGTAACTAGCCGACGGCAGGGGTACAGTGGTCCCCAGAAAACAGCCGCTCCCTGGAGGGATGAGGGGATGCCTCATCCAACACGCAGGAAGGAGGAACAGGTGCCAGGGGGACTGGGAAGCCCCGATACTGTGTCACCTGGCCTCAAGTCCCTGCTCTGAGAGGGGTGCCCCTCGGCTGCTGAGCTGCTCAGGAACACAGAAGCGTTCCTTCTGGGCACCTCGATATGGAAGGAAGGAAAGTGGAGGGCAGCAGGGCTGGTTGGCAGAGCACTCCCCGCTGCTACTTCCCCACATGGTGGGGGAGGGAAGAGGCCTGGTGGGCAGGGGGTGTCCCAGCGAGTCTCCTGCTTGGCAGTCCCCTGCTTGGCGAGTCCCCTGAGGGGAGGCTATTCTGGGAGAAAGGGAGACAGGCGGACAGCACTCTGACACCTTCTTTTTATGACTCTGGGACAAGACCTGGCAGAATAAGGCCGGATTTCTCAATTTCTTGCCAGGGAGGGGAGGATTGCATTTCAAAAGGACCTAAACAATCAGACGGCAGATCACACCTCCATCTAAGGGCTGAGGCAGCCAGAGCGCCTGGGCCAGCAGCGGTGAGGGGAGGTGAGGGGAAGGGAATCGGAGGCCGGCCTCTCATCTTTCTCTGTAGTCTGCCCCTCCCCCACATTCACACACACCCCCTTTCAAATGAAAAGCCGGCCTGGATCAGGGTCAGGTTAATGACGGCATGCCGATTTGGCCCAGAATTCCGACCTCTCTTTCGAGGTGCAAGTGGGAGGGGGCCCGGGGGCTGCGGCTTTGGGCTCTCTACCCGTCTCCAGGAAACCCACAGGATGTCCCTGCAGTGCTGAGGGATGGAGGCAGTGTGGTGGGCGGGCCTCCTGTCCGCCCTAACTCCACTCAGAGGAGCTGCCGCCTGCCGCCTGCCGGGGTGAGCCGCAGCCACAGGTTTCCACCTGCCGAGGTGACGCCGGAGGAGGCAGGAGGGCCAGGCTGTGCAGCTGTGCTTCTCCGCATGCCTGCTCCCTCGTGGCGTCCCCCTGCAGCCCTCGGGGAGCCGAAGGCCCAGGCAAGGTGAGCAGGGCTCGGCCGGCCTCTCACCTATCTGCAGGACTCGCCCGAAGACCGAGGTGTTGTCCACGGTGCTGCAGTTCCACCGCCTCTGCCGGAACTGGTGCTGGCACTCCCTGATGCCCGTCTTGGCTCCTTCCCCGATGTAGGCCATGTGCTCCTGGTACAGCTGGCACAGCTTCCTCTGGCCAGGGGAGAGCCCCGGCAGCTGGCTGCACACCGGCTGTGCCCCAATGATGAACATCTCTGGTCTCTGCACTGGGTTCAGAGCGAGCGACCTACGGTGGGTCCAGAACAGGGAGAGACGGCCGAGGGGTCAGGCCCTGCCATGCAGCAGCCAGCGCACTCGGCAGTGCTTTCTGGGTACACGCTTGGACTGGGGCTTGGAGAAGGAAACGGGACGAATGCTTCAAAGGACAGACTGCGGGAGACACAAAGGACACCTGACCTGAGCACCTCCCTGAGCCCCGGGCCGCAGCCAGGGAGCCTTCACAGCTGAGAAGCCTGGGGAGGCCGTGGCCAGAACCCAGGCCGGGTCTTACAGCGGGGGGCAGCGAGAAGGAGACGGGGTGCCGGTAGCCGTTCATTTGAGGCAGAGGCAAGAGCCAGTCCTCCAGGAGAGCACGGCCTCAGCAGGGAGTGGGAGTGAAGGGCCGCTAGCCAGAGAGCGCAGGGGATGAGGGAAAAGAACCGACCCGGAGCCGCGCTCCCCTCACACTCTGGAAGGCGGCTCGGCTCCAGGGGTCCGCAGTGCCCTCCCGTCCCCAGCTCACGCCACACAGCCTGACTCACTCCTGCTGGGCTCGGGACCTCCCCTTTGCTCATCATCCACCAGATGGAAATCTAATAAGGTGCTAAGTCGGGATCGGGAGTGAAAACGCGAGCAGGGCACAGACCAGGCGAGGAGGGGGCGGCCCCAGCCCTGTCGCGCTCACTCGGCAAGGACGGCAGCCTTAAACCGCCACAGGCCACACGTGCTCCTGCCAGTCTCTCCTCCGGTCCCCAGACGGAAACA